ATAAACACTTTATTTACATGTATCGACAATTTAAACACGTATGCACTTAGCAAATAGGCACGCCTTTCAAAACAATAAACATTTAAATAGGTAACATGTAAGCATGCTTCTTAAACTGTTAAGCACTTTAACACATAGGCACATAAACGATGCAAGTCAACTCTCTACCCTTTTCTAGGTAAGCCACTACCCGTCGTCCGAAAGGTATTCGAACCTAAGGCTCTGATACCATTCTTGTAACGACCCGAACCCGGAGGTCTGAACCGTTAGCTGGGTCCTTATTCGAAGCTGAGGTCGTCCAAGTCTTTCCCATGGTTTCTAAGGTCAAAACATCAGTGTTAAGGTCATAATTACAAATCACAAGGATTCCAAACAACCTCCCAAGGTGAAGGATAGTTCATACCCAAAGAATGAACAAAGTGGGCAAGATTGGAGTGTTTCGGTCGACCGAAGTGGGGCTTCGGTCGTCCGAAACAACCCCCCTGAATCGGTCGACCAAAACTCCCTTTTGGTCGACCGAAATGAGAGATCCCGAGAGCTTGAAAAGAGTTCAGTTGAAAAAAAGAGATCTTGAGAGCAAGAAGATGGTTCGGTCAACCAAACCCTATTTCGGTCGACCAAAATAAGAGATCCCGAGAGTATGTAGAAGAATCGGTCGACCGATGCACCATTTCGGTCGACCAAAATGGCTCAGCTGAGCCTGGGACCTGATACTGAGAAGCTGCACTTGTGGAAATGAAGGGAAACTGAAATGAGGACTTTGCAAATGCTTTAAACTTGTCCCAAACATTAAGAAAATGAGTTATTATATGATCATTAATAAGAACACCGATACATGATCTCATTACAACGTCATTTGATTCAATTACATAAAGTTTATGCATAGTCCTTACAATTGTCTTAATTTACAATGAAATGGATTCAAGCTTCAAGTTATAACACAATTTACATGCCAAATAAAGTCGGTACATTGCATATCATGTTGCTGTACAAAATCAGTTTAAGTCTTTACAAAATGCTCTCAAAATGCCTTCAAGTTCTGTTAAGTCTGAGGTGGATTATCATTCGCCAATTCCTTACCATATCCTGATAAATGTTAAGTATATGGGGTGAGCAATTTGCTCAGTAGATGGCACTTAAGACACGCTTCCTGTGTCCTCGTGAATCCATACAAAGAATAGAGCAATGGGGATGGGGATCATACCATGTAGGGATAATATAACACAACCACTAATCTCAACATAAACATTGTAATGCAATGGAATGCTATACATGCTAATGTCACTCCCCATTTTCAACATTCAAACCATCGCTTTCAAACTGTTAAAACAAACCGCCATTTGGCGACTTCGTAGCGACACGAGAGAAGGATTGGCTAGTGTCCCTGACACTTGGTACCCCCGCGGCGTCATTTTAGGCCCAGCTAGCTCAACCACACTAGGACAGTCCCCCTAGTTCCCTCTAGGTTATATTAACACTCCGGCCCTTTGGTACCCCCGCGGCGGCCGGGTTTTCATAAAACCAATTCATCAAAACATTTCCCCAAAATTTCCTTTTTCATTTCAAAATGATTTCTCCCATTCATGCCCCATAGTATGCACGTACGTCATGTTCTTAATGCCATGGAAATGAAGGCTTTCACACTATACAATTGTGCATACACTACAAGTACTCTAGGGAAATAACACATGCCATCACATATCATTTCTAACAAGTTTTACAACAATATAAGCATGGTAGATCAACTATTAGACAAAAAAATTAATCAAATAAACACGTTCTCATATAACTTAAGTAACACATTTAATCATAACTTTACACATAACACTTACATCATCTTTAGAACAATTAATTTAAAAACAATCATGCTTTACAACAATTTAGGAGGTATAATTCACAAAAGAGCAAGAACATCATGAATTAAGAACCCCTACCTCTTAGTTACGCAAAACCCTTAAAATGGGTCTCAAATTTCGAAATTCAAAGGACGGCCTAAAGCTGAAATTGTTGGTATTCGCACGTAGAGCTTGTCGTGCTCTCCGTTTTCCCTCAAACGTCACTCTAAAATTCCAAGAAATGAAGTTGGAATCAAGATTTGAAGTTTTGAAACCAAAAGAAAAGAAAAATGAAGAAGAAATGAAGGAGAGGGAGAAACTTACGGGGAGAGAGAGTGTGGGAATGAAAATGTGGTCTCTAGACCACTTATGAGGTAGTGGTGGGTCCCACCACCAACATTTCTTTTCCTTTTTTCTTTTATTTGCAATTTTACACCACAATTAAATATATAATGCACCACCACACAATTACTACATAGCTCACATAATTTAAAATGTATGAAATGCAAATGGACTCAACCAAAATCCCGTACGCGACAATATCGGCAGCGGGTCCCACACGGAACCTTCTGGCCCGAAAAACAAAAAAATGCAAAAATGATCACCCTTACATTTCAAAGAGTCCTGAATTCAATGAAATACCCCAATCAACTCTCGGACATAACCGGCATACCCCAATCAACTCTCGGACATAACCGGCACACTCCACGGTCCCCCTCCCCCCCAAAAAGGGACACAAAAACGATTAATAAGGGTTGAAGTTGGTTAATTGAATCAATCCATGGTTGGTTATGTAGTTATCCTAGATTTGAGGTCAATTGTTCGCTTTGAATAAGGACATGAGAGATAAATAAGGGACTGTTTGGGCTGAAGTAATTGAAAGGAAAAACATAAAAAGAAGCAAATTCATTCTTTGCTCTACAATTTGCAACTCATTAGAAAATATCTTAAAATCCAATACTTGTACCAATTTTGAGTCCGGTCATAAACTTGCACAAAATTCAAATGGGCTACTTCAATTAAAATTTGGGCCGTGTACCACGTGGAGTTAATTATTTTCTGCTGGAAGAATTGCATGTAGACCAAATTGCGTAGGCTGCTGGGCTTTGTCGTCCAATTCTTTAAGTGGGCGGGCCTGAGTTTGTTTTTGCGACCCCTGTGTGGTCTACAAACCCAGCCCATCAAGTATGCGGGCTCAAAATTTTAAAAAAATTAGAAAATAGGTCATATAAAAATAATAAATTCATAATTTTTATAACTTGAATACTTATAAAAAAAAAAATGATATCCCTACTTTATATATATATATAAGTATATAAGTTAAGAATTATTATATAAGTAAATAAATTATATACTTTAAATATATATCAGTTAAATAAGTATTTGATATAACTAATGTAAATATTACTTAATGTCTATATTTACCAATGTAAGTTATAATGACTTGCCCTAAAGTTTCACTTAATTACACATGACAACAATGTTCATATACTTCTAATTATATTATATTTATTAAGATAAATTATAATGACTTCTCTAAAATTTGACATGATAACAATCATATTGGCTTGTGACCTAAGTAATGTTAATTTATAGAACACTCACTTTTCATTTGAAACATGAGTCACTATCACTATATTACATTTGATGAAACTCTAATGTAATAGAAGGCACCATTCATGTACCTAGCATGTAGTTAATAGATTGTCACTACAACTATATATGAATAGTGTTTATGTTTATTTATTTTTATTATTTTTTTTTTTTAAACGCGTTTATACAATTTGAAAATATCCATACATGCATCAATACATATTGAAATTAGCTCTCCCCCATATATCTACACACGCAGACACGTATATATTGAGAGGGGGTGTCTTAATGCGATAGTGAATGGCAAGGGCCACAATATATGTGTTGATATAATATATTTATATTTATATATTCTCAAAAACTTAATATAGATGAAATAAATGAAATCAAACACAATATGAAACTGAATATTCTCACGAATAGTTTCATATATATATATATATTTGAGACAAATAAGATATTAAATAAATTCCCAAGAACAATACAAAACACACTAAGAAGCATAAAACTTTATTCAACTTTTTCTAGCTTGGTACTCTCACGTTCATGTTCCGAGAGCGCTCTCACGCTCCTCCCGCGTCTTTTTTCACGCTCCTGTTCTCACTTTATATCTCCGATTCTCATTCTTACGAAGATTTCAAGACAAAATATTATAACAACAGTGGCCTCGATAATGAAAAGTCATTACAATCTTTAAAATCTTTAAAGATTTCAAGACAAAATGCATTTAACTCCTGGTTTGTCTTTAAAATCTTTTCCGGCCTTTGCAAACTTCAATGAACACACTGTTAAAACAACCAACAAGCTACTAAATATTAACCGGGAACACACTGACTTTGATTTAAATAATTTAAATTGGCTGTTATGCGTAAGTTTAATCTCACACTCATACTTGGTGCTGTATGAATTTCTCTCCTTGAAATTGTTAAATGTTCGTTGGTAGATTATGTCGTTTAATAAGCTTTTAGTTAATTCAGGAGAAAACAAAAAGAAGACAAAAGCTTTCAGTTACGCACTTTCGTACATGCTCATGAAAACCTTTTGTGAATGAACTGGAAATCTGTCTCTAGTGATTTATTTCTAAAATTTGTAAGTGCTGCCTTCGTTCTTTATTACTTTTTTCTTTTCCTCTTTTTCCACAAAGTGCATCTGCAAGAGTCCATTATTTTATTTTATTTTATTTTAGGTAAATTTTACTCAGACCCTCTGAGGTTAGGTCATTTTTCAACTAGATGAGAATTTTGGTTTTAACTTTCACTTACATCCCAATTTACTTTTTAGCATCTGATACATGTGAATTGACCATTTTTCCTCAATTTTTTTATTACAAAATATATATAATCTTAAATGACAAAAAGACCCATATATATATATATATATAATCAACTGCCGCCCCACCCTTAACACCTCTGGCGGATCAGAGTTACGGAGATCCGACGGAATCAACGCCAGCGTCCTCTCAGGTCTCCTCTACACTGTCGTCTTCGCCCGCCGACGCTGCTCTCCCATTTCGGTGATGAAGCTCGATTGGTTCAGCGGTGGCTTTGGCTATGATGAAGCTCGGCTGGACTGATGGTGATGCAACGACGGGCTGGTTCGGTCGGTGTAGACGGGCTTGGCCGTGGATGCCGGAGGAGACGTACTCGGCCGTGGACGGCGGATGAGATGGGCTCGGCTAGTGGTTTGCGGCGAAGGTGGGCGAAGAGGATGCTGGTTTGAAACTTGGCCATTAAGAAGAAGATCGGTGGATGGAGAAGAACCCACCGGTGGCGATGGATCCGGCGATGGGCGGGCGGCCAACAAGATCTCACGGCTGTTATGAGCAAGGGCGATGGAATTGGCTGGACTGAACTCAGCCGTGATGAAGACGGTGGCTCGCGATGTTATAGCAGCAATGATTGATGGCGATAATGGATGTGCACGGCTAGGAAGGTGATGGCAGTGAGCAAGCCTGGAGAAGCCAAGCTCCTTGAGGCGATGTGGATGATGCTACAGCAGGAGAGCCCCGACGACTACGTGGTGGCGACGAAGTGGCGTTTGGGTACGTTGGGTTGAATTGGAAGGACTATATAGTGATTGACAAGAGGTATTTTAGGCCTTTCAAAACGGCAAATCGAATCGGTGATAGATAGGATTTGGGTCTTTCTGGGCACTGTGCTTCTTCTCGGTGGAGGAGTGGCGTCAGTGGTGTTGGGTCTTGAGATCGACGTCGGTTGGGAGGCGAATTAAATAGGGTTGGGAGGTTGGCGAGTTAAGTGTCGCCACCTACACCTCTTCGACCTCACCCAGCCACCTCCACCTCCAATCCACAACCCAAATCCCCATCATCAATCGGGCCGACTGCCCCTGTCTGTTTTGTATGTGTGTATATATCTATGATTCTATATATGTTAATAATTTTGTGTGTATATATCTATATATATACTATTTGTGTGTGTATATATATATATATATAAATATATGTTTCTATATAGATATATATGTGTGTGTAATTTTGAGGAGTGGTGCGGTGGTTTTGTCCGGCGTGAACTGTGGATGATGATGGTATGTGGAGAAAGAAGAGGAAGGTGTATGTTGTGGTATTTTCGTCACAAAAATAGTCAATGGAAGGTCAAAGGGTAGCATAGTCATTTAACATCTCAAAAGTACTATAACCCTGCCAAAAATTGACATTTGGGGTGTAAGTGAAATGTTAAACCACTAATTCAAATACAAGCGAAATCTGAAACCAAAATTCTCATCTAGCTGAAAAATGACCTAACCTCAGGGGGTCTGAGTGAAATTTACCCTTTTATTTTTTATCACTATATATATATATATATATATATATATATATATATTCCTAGAACAAAGAGAGATTCAACCATGCACATGCCAAGTTAATGAATATGTGATTGAAGGTAAAATTACAGGATCAAACAGTTGGATTGTTGTACCCAAACTACCATTATTTTAGGCAATTTATTTTTCAGCTGTTTGGTTGATATTGTGGGATTTATTTACAAATGTGCTGCTACGAATCTTAAGGTAAGACACTTTCGAAGCTTATTTAAAAGCTCGATTAAGGGCTCATACTTGCTGCTACTGTTTATGTTGGATTAATTGAGAGAAGCAGCTGAATTCAACAAATACTAATATATTCAACGTGTGATCCTCAATTGAGCTAGAGATGCTTTTATGTGAATTAGGGCAAGGTGAAAGATAACAAGACTAGTAGATGGCTTCAAAGAGAGTGGGGATTGTGAGAGCAAATGTTACCTTGATTGTGCTTATTTTATGTGGGTTGAGTTTTGATCTGATTGTTTATGTAGGTGGTGTGCTTCAAAGAGAGTGGGGTTTGCCTTGTATATGCTTATTTTATGCGGGTTGACTTTTGATCCCGATTGCTTGTGTAGGTGTTTCATTATTGTTGCCCAGTTGATGTTGAGATATATTATGGTGATTCTTTACGGTGGAAAATGATGATAGGAAGAAACAGAAAGCGTGACCAAGTCTTTTAGGTCTTATTTGAGGTAAGACTCTATTTCAACAATTGTTTTTGTCAAAGAATAGAGAAACTTTTGTTAACCATGTTTTCCTAGTCATATTCTTAAAACTCTTACCATCTTAAACAAATCTAAATCCTTTTCAAGAATGAAACTCCTCACCCACCCCCCCCCCCCCCTCCAAAAAAAAATGAAAAAAGAAAAAAAAAACAAGGGATTGAGTATGAAACTCCTCTAGAGCTTATTTCATAAAAAAACTCATCTTTGTGGCAATGCTATAGGCTCCTAGAATCTTAGTCGATTTATGAGGGTGTCTGTTTCCTTTTGGACAGTTTGGGTTGGAAGCACGCTTGTTTCAAAATGTGAAATTGACACCTACATAAAATATGATGAATGATTGAATTTGAATAACTCTGTTTGCAAGTTGCAACTACAACCTGGATAATGTCCAATGACCATTTCCTCTTGTAAGATTAGAGGAGATAGCAAACACATATATATACATAGAGAAGGGTCACATATACAGAGAATATAGATATACACATGTCATATATTTTGATCATGGCTTCTATATTTTTGTTTCTTTTCCTTCCTGCAATTTCAGCTGCAACAGCTCAACAAAGAAACACCAACATGAGCATAGGCTCTTTTCTATCACCCATTAGCAATTCATCCTTGGTCTCACTTTCTGGCCGCTTGGATTTTGGATTCTACCCAAAAGACAATGGCTTTGCTATAGGCATCTGGTTTGCTGAAATTCCCCCAAAAACAGTTGTATGGACAGCAAACCGAGATGATCCACCAATCTCCACCAATGCTACATTAACCTTGACTCTTGATGGTAAGCTCATCTTGCAACAATTGCTAGGTGGAGGCCAACCCTTTGTCAATGCTTCACAGTCTGTTGCATCAACTTCCATACTTGATTCAGGCAACTTTGTCCTCTATAATTCTGATTCAAAGATCATCTGGCAAAGCTTTGATTATCCAACAAACACACTTTTACCAGGACAGCTCCTACCAGCTAGGGATGAACTGGTTTCTGGTGTCTCGAAGACTGATCACTCTATTGGGAACTACAGGGTAAAGATGCAGTATGATGGGAACCTTGTTATGTATCCTGTAGGTTTGCCAGATGGACCTGAAGCTGTTTATTGGGCAGGAGATACATACTTTGCAGGAGACAATGCAACATTAACTCTTGATGGAAATGGCCTTCTGTATGTGTTTGATAAGACAGGTACCAACATAAAGAACATAACCAATGGTGGGAACTTATCCATGGGGAAGATATTCCGTTCAACGATGGATGCAGATGGGTTATGGAGGTTATATTCTTATAGCTTGAATCTGAATAGTAATTGGACAATTGAGTGGTCTGCACCAGATGATAGGTGTGATATTAAAGGCATGTGCGGCATCAATGGGTTTTGTGTTCTCATGGATCAAGAGCCTTCTTGCACTTGTCCTCCTGGTTTTATTTACATTAATCAAGGGCAAAAGAATTTGGGTTGCAACCAGAATTTCAGCACAGAGAGTTATGTTTTCAAGAATGGAAACATAAATTATACCATATATGAATTGGATAATGCCATTTAGGAGGATAGCGCGTACTCTACTTTTTTTTCCATGACCAAAGAAGGTTGTAAACAGGCCTGTTTAGAGGACTGCAACTGCGAAGCCGCCACATTTCAAAACCAGGACTGCAGAAAACAAAAACTTCCATTGAGATTTGGGAAGAGATAAGTAGATGACTCCACTGCAACTCTTGTCAAAGTAGGCACTGGGGGGATCGGCTGGAATGGAACCACCACTACAGCTAATCGGGTTCCCAAATCTTCCAAGAAAGACCTGCGAATGGACATTCTAATTATTGGTATTGCAAGTCTTAGTTTTTCAGTTATTATACTAATAGCCACTGTTCTTATATATAGACATCGCATTTGGGCATACAAAGAGCTTCCTTGTAAACGGGATGATGGATTGATTGAAGATATAACCCTGCGATCATTTTCCTACGATGAACTTGAAAAAGCAACCAGTGGCTTCAAAGAAAAATTGGGCCAGGGAGCTTTTGGAACAGTTTTTAAAGGGGTCTTATCGAATGGGCAGAGGGTCATTACTGTGAAGAGATTGGAGAAGGTTGTAGCCGAAGGAGAAGAAGAATTTCGTAATGAGATGAGATCTATTGGGAGAACCAATCACAGAAATCTAGTTCGGTTGCTTAGCTACTGTCATGAGAGATCCAATAGGCTTTTGGTGTATGACTACATGAGCAATGGTTCATTATCAAACTTCCTCTTCAAATAAAAAATGAAACCTAATTGGGATGAAAGAGTTCGGATTGCTCTTGACATAGGTAGAGGCATCTTATATCTACATGAGGAGTGTAACAAATAGATCATTCATTGTGACATAAATCCCAATAACATACTCATGGATGACAATTGCAGCCCCAAAATTGCAGACTTTGGATTGGCAAAGCTACTGATGCCGGAGTAAACCAGGACATTCATTGGCATCAGAGGAACAAGGGGATATGTTGCCCCTGAGTGGCACAGGAACTTGCCCATAACTGCGAAAGTAGATGTTTACAGCTATGGGATTCTGTTCTTGGAGATCATATGTCGACGCAAGTGTGTTGATGTGAATGTTCCAGAGAATGAGGTGGTCCTTGCAGACTGGGTGTACACCTGTTTTGAGGAAAATAAGTTGAGAATGCTGGTTCGCGAGGAAGAGGTGGACGAGTAACAATTGGAAAGGATGGTCAGGATTGGACTTTGGTGCATCCATGATGAGCCATCACTCCGTCCCTCAATGAAGAAGGTTGTATTGATGTTAGAAGGGACTGTAGAAGTACCAGTTCCTCCCAGCCTTGCTTCTTTATTCAGTGTCATCTAATTCATGTAAGGCTTGGCACCACAATGATGGTTATTTCTCAGATGCTTTGTAATCAATGATCTGATAAAGTATCAACATAAGATCCTTCAAAGTATGTTTCCTTTTCTTGCTCATTTCTGTTTAATGTTGTTATATGTAACTCTGTTGAATAGAAATGCCTACAATAAAAAAAAATAGAGTTCTTCTCTGTTACAATGCATAATAAGTACTTCTATGCATAACAAAAGTTCTCAAATCTAAGTATTGTACTATTATATATAATACATAAGCCTCATTGTAGGGCATAGCTCAATATATTACGAGTAATTTGGTAGGTGAATCATACAAATGTATGTAATCATATTTTTGCCTTTGCCCCATATGGAAGAATGACCCACATTAGTTCTCTTTTTTTTCATTCTTTCTTATTATATACCATTACTTCTCTAATATTTAGTTCCTTAAAATATTTTTAATTACTTTAGCATATGTAAGTTTTGATCTGTCTCTTTCACGTTTACCTTGCGGGCTAATCCTTTTCTACCCAGTGTATCTTTGAGTCTATATTTTATATAACCATGCCACATAAGTCTACTTTCTCTAATTTTATTATTAGTATACGATATTTCTAGTTCTCCACTCACTCATCCATTACTGATCTTATCTCTTCTAATTATTCCCGTCATCCATCGTAGCATCCTCATTTTTCACTACACGAATGCATTGTTCGTATTTCTATTTCATTGCACAATAATCTGTTCCATACAATTTAGCTGACCTAAGAACTATGTTGGTCCTTGTGTTTCATTGTGTTTGCCCTTTTAATGTCAAATCCATGTGTTTCAAGGCTGCCGTGCTATTTCATCACTATTCCTGTTGTGCTTAGTGGTGTATATTATCTCACAGGGGTAGTTTAGTCTTTTACTAACTTGTGATATATTTTCATAAAGCTTAAGGATGGTACATACATTGTGTTTGGCACTCAGTTATAAGGCATGTTTCTGGTTTTTTATGAGGTTCAAGGTGTGATAATTAGTTACAGGCTTATCCAGGGGCATTAATGTCTTTTCATAGTTGAATTGGACCTTTTCGCACTTGTCTAGTATGCTGCATTGTATTGAACATCACAGAATTAAGGTCCATTGCAAGTTTTACATTTTCAGCAACAGTTTTGTGAATTATGTGGCAAGTGGCATATCTAAGGGAATTTATGTCTTTATGCTCAGAGCCTAAGGTGCGACATGTGGCTATGGTCCTGAAGTGAGTGTATATATACATAAATGCATTTCTTGACCACCAAGTGTGGATAAGATTGATGAACGTGCCTTGCAATGTGAGCTATGATTTTTTGTTATATTACAAGACAAAACAACTGAGTTGGCAGGGGTACTATAGTCTTTCAATATCAATGTCAAAAGTATTCAAGGTATTATATGTTGTGGTATAGTCAAAGGCTATTGTGGTATATTGGTCAAGGGATTTATGGATGTTTGCTCAAAGTCTAATTGATAAAGGCACATTGTTCACAGAATTTATCTAAGAAGGCACTACAGCCTTTGAAGCTCAGTAAATTCTGTTTCAGCACAGATGGTTTACTCACAGTCCTTCTTAAGGGCAATTCTGACTTTATACACATCCTGGGGTTCATATTACATTTACCTGAGAAGCTACATTATTCATTTGAGTTCATCTTCTCAGTATAACAGACCAACCACATGTTCTTCAAATGCTACATCAGTGTTTTTTTACTTGTCTGTCAAATGGCAACTGTAAGGGCATTATTGTAATTTTGTGTGTAGCTGACACGTGCATAGTGGTCCTGCTTAGAGAAGATAATGATAGAATCGCATTCTTTGGCCTCAAGTGTATAATGCTTTACATATATACATATACACATGTATGTGTATATTGTGACTATTAAGGGCTACTCAAAAGTGTGTATCAGCATGTATAAACAAGGACAATGTGGTCCTTTCTCACACTTGTATATTAGATTTGTAACGATCCAAATTCGGGGGTCGGATCGCTAACAGAGTTTAACCAGACCCGAGAACACTCAAGGGTAAAATGGTCTTTCTGACCAATACAGTGTACTAAAGGTTATGATAATGCCATAATAGTAATTACTAATCCAATTGGTTCACTTACGGGTGAAAGAATCAACTCCATCCTCAAATCGGACCAATTAGGGTTACAAGGATAAATTGGTCTTTTTGGACCATGCAACGCATTAGGGACCTTACAACTATAATCTAGGTCATATCTAGTCACTTAGGTTCATTTGTAAATGAAAGAAAACTACTTGGTTCGATGTCACCCATTTTAGGGCTAAAAAAGGTTAAAATGTCATTCCGGACCAATCCACTCGCATTCTGACGAGGCAATAGTGATCTAAGCCCCCTAAATACCGTGTGGGACCCATACGTTGAAACTCGTGGCCAACGAAAAACTTTCAAAAAAATAGTACCTAATTTATAATATGGAGCACTCCGTCGACGTCCTCGGACAGTGCATGCCTCTAGCGCTCGGTGGACACCCTCGGAGCGCTTGATGGGCATCCTCGGAGTGCTCAGTTGGCACCTTGAGGGTGCTCGGGGTGTGTCTTAGGCACCCCAGCATGCACACCGAGCGCTCAAGTAAGCCAAAAATGGGTTTTTTTGCCCTTTTGTTCCCGTTCGTGATCCCAAACACTTGTTTGGTCATTTTTTTGGACCTTCTTGCCCCTGTCCTAACTCACAAGCATGCATAAATATTGGATAAGAAATTAATACATCAATTTATGATTTTAAATCATAACACTTAGTCAAATTCATTTACATGATCCAAATTACATTGAAAACAATCCAAAAGAATAGAAGTTACACATATAAGTCTTTACAGTCACAATTACATCACTTTACAAAAGAATTACATAAATTAAGCCTCGATTACAAGAATAACAAATGAAGCTCTCGTCAACCCTAAATATACATGTGAAGGTCCATCATTGATCACCTTTTTGTCATAACCTGGAAATGTTTAAGATAAGGGGTGAGCACCACCGCTCAGTAGAGGATTCCTAAATGGCATCTCCTTAAGTTGAGTAAGCACAGAACAGAACACAAAGGAGCATAGTAAGATAAAAAGGGGTTATATAAAGGATTTCAAACACTAATCAACCAACATGGTTTGAATCAAAGTTGTTGGCCTCCTATAAATACTACCAATGGCTACACTCTTATTTAATGCTGAGCAACCATCTCCAACAGTCATATTTGGACAATTAATGCCTCTCATCTACCTCTACACTCTATCTAAGAGCATGCATTGAAGAAGGTAAGATTCGTCGTTGAGAAAACATTTGAAATACCATTCAAGGAGCATTTACTCTATCAATCATTTCAAATCACCTGTTCATTCAATCATCATTTTAGCTTGTTTTGTTTGGATTGCTCTTTTTTTTTTTTTTTTTTTTTTAACCTGAACTGGTTTTTGTTATTTTTTTTGTGAATCTCTTTTTGTAGGGGTATTCCCTCCATAATCCTGAAATCGTTGTTTCATAATAAAAAAAAGGAATTGTCGGAATTTACAGTACTACTGGACCAGTACCACAAGAGTATAGGTGCTATCAACATATCATATTGTGATAAATAAATAAATAAATAATTTAAGAAAGCCAAAGATATTTGGTGATTAATTGATTAAAATATTTAAGTTCATTCTTCATAACTGAGTAGGTA